AGACAGATAGATAGATAGATAGATAGATAGATAGATAGATAGATAGATAGATAGATAGATAGATAGATAGATAGATAGATAGATAGATAGATAGACACAGACAGACAGATAGATAGATAGATGGACAGATAGATTATAGATAGATAGATAGATAGATAATTTTTTGTCTTTTTTTAAAATGTCTATATAGTTTTTATTAAGTTTTAGTTTTTAATTTTAGTTGATTTAGTTTTATTTATGTTAGTACTTAAAATTAAACTAAAGAAAATTGAGTAATTTAGCTTTGGCAGCTAACTGAAATAAATTTATTTAAAGTAATGAATTTATTTTTTATGGTTTTATGTTTATTTTTAGTTAACGCTAATAACCTATTCATAATTATAATCTCTTTTTTTCTTTCTTTTTTTTAGGTGAAATAAATTAAATTGCAATTTTTATTTTTTTACATGATGTACAACCTATGGTTGTTTTTATTGAAGTAAACACGATACACTGATGAGATGTATCTGTTTGTGTGTTAGTGCAGTATCCGTGTGGGAAGCAGTGGATCGGTGGGATCATGTCTCGCTCACTGGATGATATAAACCTCACGGATGCTGATTATGCAAACCACACCCACACCACAGCAAACTCCACCCACTCATTACATAAAAACAGTTCACTGGACAACTCGACTCACCCGCCAAACCAAACCAAACCTGTGTCACCGGACGAGCTGTCTGACACAGGAAGTGACATCAGCGGCGTGAATGAGGACACACGCATCGTTGGAGGTCAGCTGCAGGGTCAGGGCGGGAGTCCGTGGCAGGTGAGTGAAATCTGAGCTTTCTGCTTCACTCGGATCGTCACTCTGAATGAAGAGCTTGTGTTAAATGACCTGCACCACATCATCTGCAGGTTCTTCTTCGTCGTGAGGATGAGTACGGTTTCTGCGGCGGGTCTCTGATCAGTCAGCGCTGGGTCGTGACGGCAGCTCACTGTCTCCAGCAAACACCAGATCACGTGACCATCGGTCTGTAGCGACCATTCACAATCTATACGAGTGTATGATACAAGATCACAATGTACTTTCATGTGGAATTATGTGTGTATATATACATATACTGTATACATGTGTATATATATATATAGATATTTTAGTTTTTTTTTTTTGATGAATAGAAGTTTAAAATGAACCTTCATTTGAAGTAGAAATCTTACTGTAACATTATACATTTACTTTTTAGATTAATTAATTACATATTAATAAATAATAAAAAAGAAAGTTCTAATAAAATAATGTGAATTAAAATATTAATATTCAGCGATAAATCAGCTGTATTTTCAGTATATAATTTTTATCATATATTTTTTGTATATGTGAGTGTTCCTAAAATAATAATTATTATATGATTATATATATATATATATATTTCATTATTATATTATGTTACAGTAATGAGAATGAGATTCTTGTTCTCATTACAATAATAAACATTTGTTAAGAAATGCTGTTGTTGTAATGAAAATGGTGTCACATTGCAAAATAACAGTAATAATGAATGAATGAATTAAGTTCCTATATATATATATATATGTGTGTGTGTGTGTGTGTGTGTGTGTTTTTTATAGATTGTTTTCTGTAATTACGTTTTAGTAATTTTTTTGTCTGTTGTCATGTCTTTAATATATAGTACTGTATTGTGCCTATAATATGCTACTCTAAACTGTATCGTTTTTAGTTGTTAGTAGTTTTATTTAGTTTTTAGTTGTGGTTATTTTAGTATGCCAGCTTAAACTAAATGAAAACGGAAAATGTAATCTTAGCAACTAACAAAAAATAAGTTATTTCAGTCAAATTAAAAAGTAATAGAGTTTTTGAAGGTTTTAGTTTTAGGGAGTGATAATAAGCCAGATATATAAGCATCATAAATGTATATTTTGGGGGGGGGTAATTTTGCACTAATCCCGGACATGTGTTTGACGTTCCCGCAGGAGACTACGATAAGATGCGTCCCGACAGAGACGAGCAGAAGATCGCGGTGCAGAAGATCGTGCTCCACCCTCACTTCCACGACTACACCTTCGACAGCGACATCGCTCTGCTGTATCTGTCCCGTCCCGTCGCTCTGGGTCCGTTCTCTGGCCCGGCCTGCCTTCCCGATGCCAACCTGGCCACGCGGCTGCTGAGGCCCGGAGAGCAGGGCCTGGTGTCGGGGTGGGGGTCCACGGGCTTCCTGCGGCGCTCCTCCCGCTTCCTGAGGAAGGTGCTGCTCCCGGTGGCCGATCAGATGAACTGCATCAACTCCACCGAGCACGTCATCACCGACAACATGTTCTGTGCCGGATACCTGCTGGAGGAGATGGACGCCTGCACAGGGGACAGCGGAGGGCCCTTCGTGGTCAACTACAGGGGCACCTGGTTCCTGGCCGGCGTGGTGAGCTGGGGCGAGAGATGTGCCGCCGAGGGCAAATACGGCGTTTACACCAGACTCGGAAACTACTTACCCTGGATACGTGAGGAGATGATGAAAGAGGAATCGGGACGCAGCCGGAACAAATCCACTACTGAAGCCCCATAACCTGTACGGCAAAACAGAGTTTCAAAAATATTTTTAATTATATTTTAAAATATACAAAAAATGAATATATATTAAAATATATTTACGTGAATATTTTATACCAATATATGTTTTGGGCAATTTTTTGAAAAAAAATTTTTTGCATTATATTTACAGTGAACAACCGATATGGCAAAAAAAAGCACCTTTAAGCCCCGTTCACACCAAGAACGATAACTATAAAGATAACGATATTAGCCTCCACACCAGAGAACGATATCGTCTGATTATTGCGTCTGTCGCTTTAAATTCTCCAGCTCGTTATAGCAGGATGGATTCTGATTGGCTGTCAATGTTTGTATCGTTCATCAGCTGGAAAAAATCATTCTGAAATTGATTTCTCTGTGCCTTTATCATTACAGCTGCGGTGTGGACTCTGCTCTTCTTTAATATTGAGAACGATTTTTAGAACTATATCTTTATCGTTATCTTTATAGTTATCGTGCTTGGTGTGAACGGGCCTTTACAGTGTAAACCATATGGCAAAAATAAATATTTTCAAAAATATTTTAAATATATTTTTAAAAATAAACAAAACATATTTGCTGTAATATGTTTAAAAATATATTTATGTAAATATATTTTCTACATATTTTTGGTCATCTTTTATTATATTTAAAAAATATAAATGTATTTTTTAAAGCATTTAAACATATATTTTGCCCACCATATGCCATTATGATTTACAGTAAATGTAACATATGGGGGGAAATATATATATATATTTCAACAACAAATGGACAAAAAATATGTTTCAAAATATATTTAAATATATATCATTTAAAATATATGTATTTTCGAAAGTACATACATATACACATCTCGATCAAAAGGGTGCTTCTACTAAATACTGAGCAAAGGGTCTGAATACTTAGGACCATGTGATATTTCAGTTTTTCTTTTTTAATACATCTGCAAAAATGTCAACAATTCTGTGTTTTTCTGTCAATATGGGGTGCTGTGTGTACATTAATGAGGAAAAAAATTAACTTAAATGATTTTAGCAAATGGCTGCAATATAACAAAGAGTGAAAAATTTAAGGGGGTCTGAATACTTTCCGTACCCACTGTATACATCTGCGTGTCTGAAATTAAGCAGGATCTTTTCTCTCTTCATGTTCATATCTACGCCGCAAACAAACAAAAATTCTCATTTATTTTCCCGATCCCATTAGCAGACAAGTTTTATTGACAAAATCAAGACAAAAAACTATATATATAGCCTATGCATTAACAATGAGCAAGATGTTTGTTACAGTATTTAATATTTGTTAATGTTACAAATACACCTGTTCAGTCTATATTAGCTCAGATCCATTAAAAAAATATTAACAGATAAACCCTTTGATTTTAATAATGTTAGTAAATGTTGAAATAAACTAAGATTTCATGTAGTTAATTACTGTGAAGTAATGGATGCTTATTGTAAAATGTTAGCAATGTTTTGCTTCTTACATTTTCAAAAAACATCATGGACCAGTGTTATCTTGCTATGCTAGAAATAAATCAAGTAACGCAAAAATAAAAACGTGCACCGAGTTATGAAAAATACATCTGTTCTGTAAGTGACTAAGGAAGTGATTTCATATAATAATTTTTTTTATCATATTAATATATATTTTTAATGAATAAGCCATCTTAATGTCTAAGATCAACTTTGTTTTTGAAAGATTAGAAACTGATTTCTGAGTGAAGGCAATGCATTTTTTAGCAACCCGTATTTAAAAAAAAAAAACTTTTTTTTTTTAAATTATATTTCAAAATATACAAAAATTGCCAATATATATTTGTCAATACAGATCTGATCATATAGATAAAAATTTAATATATTTTTGATACAGTAGGTACTCATTTATATAGACATATTAAAATTATATTTTTTTAAATGGTCAAGAAATGTGAGAAAATCTAAAAAAAATGTCAATATATCTTGTAGCTGTAATGTCGTACATGGAGTACAAATTTTCGTTTTCAAAAAAATTTATTCACATTAATTTGTTCTTTCACATCTATCTTCACAACACACATTTACTCACTTTCCAACAACAGCAGTCAAGATTTATTTCAGTTCGACATTTGATCTTCAATATACTTAATTCCTCATTCATGTCATATTTCTAAGATTTAGTTTAATATCATTGGCACGAGCTTGTTTTCTTCAGACGGATGTTTTAATAAGAGTGTTTATGAGCCTCTGATCGTTAAGTTATATTGCATATTACTGAATAAATTACATTACAGTTTTAAAATAGAAACATACCAACATCATCAATAAACTAAAGCATTTGTCAAATAAAAAGAAAAGGCCAGGAGAACATGAGTAAAATATCGGACATGGAAACTCTTTATTATGAAAGATACATCAGAACCGTCAGAGCGGCATGCGGTTCCCCTCCACGCTGATCTTCACCGCGTGACCCGTCTTCGTCAGACGCTTGATATCCGCGAAACGCCGCATCTGTTTATCTACTCGTGACAAACCCTTCTTCAGCGGAGCCTGAGCGAGAGAGAGAGAGAGAGAGTGTGTGTGTGTGTGTGTGTGAGAGCGAGAGAGAGAGAGAGAGAGAGCGAGAGAGAGAGAGAGAGAGAGCGAGAGAGAGAGAGAGAGAGAGCGAGAGAGAGAGAGAGAGAGAGCGAGAGAGAGAGAGAGAGAGAGCGAGAGAGAGAGAGAGAGAGAGCGAGAGAGAGAGAGAGAGAGAGCGAGAGAGAGAGAGAGAGAGAGCGAGAGAGAGAGAGAGAGAGAGCGAGAGAGAGAGAGAGAGAGAGCGAGAGAGAGAGAGAGAGAGAGCGAGAGAGAGAGAGAGAGAGAGCGAGAGAGAGAGAGAGAGAGAGCGAGAGAGAGAGAGAGAGAGAGCGAGAGAGAGAGAGAGAGAGAGCGAGAGAGAGAGAGAGAGAGAGCGAGAGAGAGAGAGAGAGAGAGCGAGAGAGAGAGAGAGAGAGAGCGAGAGAGAGAGAGAGAGAGAGCGAGAGAGAGAGAGAGAGAGAGCGAGAGAGAGAGAGAGAGAGAGCGAGAGAGAGAGAGAGAGAGAGCGAGAGAGAGAGAGAGAGAGAGCGAGAGAGAGAGAGAGAGAGAGCGAGAGAGAGAGAGAGAGAGAGCGAGAGAGAGAGAGAGAGAGAGCGAGAGAGAGAGAGAGAGAGAGCGAGAGAGAGAGAGAGAGAGAGCGAGAGAGAGAGAGAGAGAGAGCGAGAGAGAGAGAGAGAGAGAGCGAGAGAGAGAGAGAGAGAGAGCGAGAGAGAGAGAGAGAGAGAGCGAGAGAGAGAGAGAGAGAGAGCGAGAGAGAGAGAGAGAGAGAGCGAGAGAGAGAGAGAGAGAGAGCGAGAGAGAGAGAGAGAGAGAGCGAGAGAGAGAGAGAGAGAGAGCGAGAGAGAGAGAGAGAGAGAGCGAGAGAGAGAGAGAGAGAGAGCGAGAGAGAGAGAGAGAGAGAGCGAGAGAGAGAGAGAGAGAGAGCGAGAGAGAGAGAGAGAGAGAGCGAGAGAGAGAGAGAGAGAGAGCGAGAGAGAGAGAGAGAGAGAGCGAGAGAGAGAGAGAGAGAGAGCGAGAGAGAGAGAGAGAGAGAGCGAGAGAGAGAGAGAGAGAGAGCGAGAGAGAGAGAGAGAGAGAGCGAGAGAGAGAGAGAGAGAGAGCGAGAGAGAGAGAGAGAGAGAGCGAGAGAGAGAGAGAGAGAGAGCGAGAGAGAGAGAGAGAGAGAGCGAGAGAGAGAGAGAGAGAGAGCGAGAGAGAGAGAGAGAGAGAGCGAGAGAGAGAGAGAGAGAGAGCGAGAGAGAGAGAGAGAGAGAGCGAGAGAGAGAGAGAGAGAGAGCGAGAGAGAGAGAGAGAGAGAGCGAGAGAGAGAGAGAGAGAGAGCGAGAGAGAGAGAGAGAGAGAGCGAGAGAGAGAGAGAGAGAGAGCGAGAGAGAGAGAGAGAGAGAGCGAGAGAGAGAGAGAGAGAGAGCGAGAGAGAGAGAGAGAGAGAGCGAGAGAGAGAGAGAGAGAGAGCGAGAGAGAGAGAGAGAGAGAGCGAGAGAGAGAGAGAGAGAGAGCGAGAGAGAGAGAGAGAGAGAGCGAGAGAGAGAGAGAGAGAGAGCGAGAGAGAGAGAGAGAGAGAGCGAGAGAGAGAGAGAGAGAGAGCGAGAGAGAGAGAGAGAGAGAGCGAGAGAGAGAGAGAGAGAGAGCGAGAGAGAGAGAGAGAGAGAGCGAGAGAGAGAGAGAGAGAGAGCGAGAGAGAGAGAGAGAGAGAGCGAGAGAGAGAGAGAGAGAGAGCGAGAGAGAGAGAGAGAGAGAGCGAGAGAGAGAGAGAGAGAGAGCGAGAGAGAGAGAGAGAGAGAGCGAGAGAGAGAGAGAGAGAGAGCGAGAGAGAGAGAGAGAGAGAGCGAGAGAGAGAGAGAGAGAGAGCGAGAGAGAGAGAGAGAGAGAGCGAGAGAGAGAGAGAGAGAGAGCGAGAGAGAGAGAGAGAGAGAGCGAGAGAGAGAGAGAGAGAGAGCGAGAGAGAGAGAGAGAGAGAGCGAGAGAGAGAGAGAGAGAGAGCGAGAGAGAGAGAGAGAGAGAGCGAGAGAGAGAGAGAGAGAGAGCGAGAGAGAGAGAGAGAGAGAGCGAGAGAGAGAGAGAGAGAGAGCGAGAGAGAGAGAGAGAGAGAGCGAGAGAGAGAGAGAGAGAGAGCGAGAGAGAGAGAGAGAGAGAGCGAGAGAGAGAGAGTGTGTGTGTGTGTGTGAGAGAGAGAGAGAGAGAGAGAGTCAAAAACACTGGAACACAAACACAAACAAGCCAAATAAAATACTACATTAAAAACCCTGGAAACTAGAAGCAGAAAAAACTTTTTTTAATGAAAAATTAAAAAAATAAAAATAAAAATTGGAACCAACTACAAACAAACAAACAAACAAACAAACAAACAAACAGGAAAATACTACAAAATTAAGTCAATTAAGAATATGCACTACCAAAAAAAAAACACACAAAAGCAAATGTAACGTTCTTCTTTTAAATGGAACCTACTGCAAAGAAAAAGTAAACATGACAAACAAACAAACAAACAAACAAACAAAC